TTAGCAACGTTGATTCATCTTTTATATTCATCACAGATTAAACTTCATTTGACAGGTTTGATATTTATTTTCTAATTTAAAATAACCTTTATGACAGTTTATAGTTCTGTTAAGATATGCAACAAAGTCTACAATTTCCTTCGTCTATACCTTGCTGCAAGTTATACAAAAAATTATAATATATTTTAATTTATATAAATATAACTTTTTCCATGTTTTTGTGTGAAAATTTGCAAGTTTTAAACAATTTCTGCATTTGAAGAAAAATGCATAAATATTCATTGCTTTTAAATCCATAAGCTGCAAATGAAGTGCAACATCAACTTCTTATAAATGAACTTAAAGAAATTGAGATATATGTATAAATTTTACCAAAGATATTGAATGCAATGCAAGTGCAGATAATTATTAGTTTATGTGATTGTTTGTTAACACTGATTTGATTTTACAATGTTTATGCAGTATTAAAATATTTCTTATAGATATTTATAAAAGATATCGGTAGAACAATTGATACAAAGAACAAAATGAAACTCTTGTAAACACAAATTCCAAAACATCTACAGATAAAGGCACCGATATGAAGAAATTTTGTATTCTTAAAAAAATACCTTGTCACAAAATAAGCCGAAACATCAGACATATTTAGATAATCAACTGTTCTTTTCTTCTGTAGATGAAATGAAAGCCATGCTGAAGAATTCAAAGTGGGATCACAAGAACACAGCTGTCTCAATACGAGGACCTGTGATTCTAGATGTACAGTCAATTTATAAGCTGAAAGAAGGACATCTGCTTCTTAAATCACGTAGGTTTTCACCTTTCAATTTCTTTTTTAAAAACCTGTAATTGAATGGGGAGAAAGGTAAATAAACAGAAATACAAATCAGCTTTACCATATTTTCTAAAGAATTAAAACTATTAGTAGTTATTTCAGGGAAAAAGCAATGATTCAATATTTTGTGTATTATTTTGGGGGTGGGGCGGTGGTGCGCTATTAGAGAGACCAAATACCGAGTATTGAAGAAATTCACAGCTGATCAAGGACAGTGTCTGATTTGGGATGGGATGGAGGGGGACAGGGGATGAAGTCCTAGTAAGCTTCTGAGTATCAGTAATTAGAAAACCTTATTTCAGTAGAAAAGAAGGGAAATTAATAGTACGTATTGTTATTATTAAAATGTTAGTCCTCAAAGAGAAGTACAGCGATTGTGCTGATATCCTTAAACACAGACCCCTGAGTAAAGACGGCGTGTACACGATTTATCCCAGCATGAAGACAAAGAAGTGGGTGTACTGTGACATGACGACGGACGGAGGCGGATGGACGGTAACTATGGCAACTGATAGAGATACGGATAGTATAAACTTAATGAAACCATGGACGGTTACTATAGCAAATGATACTAATAGTGTGAAGTTTTGCTTACATATATGTTATTTTTAACCTAATCATTCTTATAATTTCTGCTGTTATGTTCCATCATAATTAGTTTTATAATGTTATGTTATAATAGTTATGTAGTTACATGTATGATACAGGTACTTCAAAGACGACAAAATGGTCATACAGACTTCTACCGGAACTGGACATGGTACAAAAATGGATTTGGGGACGCTAGGGATGAATATTGGTTGGGTAAAGGAAAAGCTTGTAAATTATTCATTTTTACACTGAAAATGTTTTTGATACAACCATCAAAACTTAGACTGTTTTAATGAAGTTCAATTTAGATACATGTACTTAGAAAAATAGACGTTATTGTGATTTTTAAAAATATATGTAGGAAATGATGTGATTCATCTTCTGACAAAGGACAAAAAACAAGAACTTAGGATAGACCTGGAGAAATTCTCTAGACTAAAAGCACATGTGACATACTCCTCATTTTACATCGGAAACGAGGCTGATAAGTATAAACTCACAGTTGGGGGATTCAAGGGAACCAAAGGTCTAGGTGAGAGGATGTTGCATTGTTTACAATTACAGAAACAAAGGCAATGATTTCATTGTTTTCAACTTAGATATATATACCTTTGTTTAGAAAAAAAGAGACCACTCTGTGTTTAAATAAGATTTATTTGCGGATTTGCTTCCGTCTTCATCAGGATGATTACCTGTAATTATGATTATTAGGGATTAAAAAAAGCTTTTAAACATATTTTAACCACATTGCGTTTATTAAGACATTACATGTATTTATTTTGGTTTAATGTAACAAAATACACCGTACCTTTAAATACAATTTATTAGATAGCTAAAACTGATCACATTACGAGCATTAAAATGATATTTGAAAGATAGCAATTCTCTACATCCCCCTTCCAAGGGCAAAGTAAAGTTTAAAACTGTAAATTGAAATTCAAGAAGCAGAGTTTTTATAGTAAAATTAAAGAATTTCTTTTAGGAACAATAAACTGCAGATCACAATAGTATACTTATTGTTAGCAGTAGTAAAGTTTCGATGGAGTAATGAGAATTCAGTACATTATCTAAGGACTATAAATTATAAAGAAACTGTAAAATGCCTACCTTTTAAACAATTTCTTAATCAATGGCGTTTAATATTTCAAATAGGTATTCCGTATAATACATTTGAAATTAGTTATGTACTTTTCCTTAAAATTAATTAATTTACGAATCTTCTATCAGTGACATTTATATTATTGAAGCTGATTATTAACTGCTACTGCATGTCTTCATTTTTTCGGTGGTGCTTAACGCCAGCAAGTGCAAAGCCAAAACGGGAACAAAATAAAAAGAAAACAAACTAGAGCAAAGCTCGTTGCAAAGCAACGAGAAGGTCTTCCGTCCTGTTTGACCGGAAGTAACTTTAATTTTTACAAAAATGAGTAATAGCGTCCTAAAATTGTTTAAATCCTCTAAATCTTTGTCATTTAATGCAAAAATCAGCCATTTTTTGCTACTTCCGGTTTGACCGGAAGTGACGACGATGGACGGAAAATTAATTTTTTTGCTCCCAGTGACAGATGTTACCCAAAAACTTGTCAAGAATGGCAAAATATGCGTTTTCCGACTACTTCCGGTTTGGCCGGAAGTGACGTCGCCGGACGTATTTTGAAGACCTCAATAGATTGAGCTTGACATTTTGAACAACTTTGCTTCTTTGACGTATTACAAATTCTCAATACTTTTTGAGATATAAAGGAAAAACTTTTGGCCCCTCTTGGCCCTTAATTATAGGGGCCAGCCCTTTTTGTGAGATATCATTTGAAAGATCTTCTAATTCTGCACAAGTTATGTTCTATATATTTTAACAAAATATTTTTAGTTTAGAAGATAAAAAGCAAAATATGAGTAATTTTTGGCTCGTTTAAGCGTTCTAATTTTTGACCCCTATATAGCGCCATTTTGAATAGAGAAATCGAAAAACAAAAACCGATGTGCACAACTTCAATCCTTCTATTATCTAAAATCAGTAAAATTTCTGCTCCAGCTTTAGCCGTCTTTGAGCCTTTGTCTGGAAACGAAAGCCTATAAATTTTCGTTTAAAGGGAAATAACTCAAAACCGGAAGTGACTTTTTGAAATTTTCGACAGCATTCTAATAGAGTTTAGTAACTTCTAGTACCTCTGAAAATTTGAGCGAAATCTATTGAGAAATGAGTGAGATATGAGGCTTCAAATTTGGCGTCTAGGAAGTAGAAGAAAAAAAAAAGAATAATAATCTTTACCAACAGAATCAGTAGAAGATCTTCCGTTGGAAATGGAAGACCTTAATAAAGAAATGGATATATAAGATAATTAAATAAACAATGATTGAATATAAAAGTTACCTATTAGAAAAAAAAACGCATTTGGAAAGAAATCGTTTTAAACCACAACTCATACACTCAAGGACAAGACTTATTATTATTTTTTTTTTTTTTACAGGTGATAGCTTTGTGTACGGAAATGGGATGCAGTTCAGTACCAAAGACAGAGATAATGACTCGTATAAAAAATCGTGTTCTCAGGTCTATACAGGTGCAGGCTGGTTTGGTTCTGGTTGTTTTAACACAAACCTTAATGGTGTTTACAGAAAAGGAAAGGATGCCAAATTGATGTCTTGGTATCACTGGGGAAACACTTGGAAATCGTTGAAATCTGCTAAAATGATGATACGTCCAAAACATTGAGCTTTGTAAAACAAGAATTGTATTATTAACAATAAATAACTTCTTTGCTTGTATACTCCTCACATTTTCTTAATTTTTTAATTGTATGATCCACGACAATCAGTAGCTTTCAACAAAGCATAAATGGCAACAACATTGCGTGTCACATGATTATTGATAGGCATGCTGTCAAAAGGACGCATAAGAAGATTACTATTATATATATTTTATTAAAAAATTTTTGACCATATTTAACATTTTCGGAATCTTACACACCTGACGTCGCACTTAGTAACAGACAGCGGAATGCAAACAAACGACTGGAGGGGGACTTATGTATGTTTTCAATTTTACTTAACATGTACTTACCTAAAAAATCTATTCATATTATCTCTGACATCTATTAAAATTGAATGAAGATAAACTAACAAAAGACGTCTTAATTACAGGGAATGGAAGATTAAAAAGAAAGATTTTGGGGCATTTTACAAAGAATAAATTCATGAATGTTTAATGTGAATCTTTAAGATATGAAGTTGCAGATCCTGAAAGGGGTCAAATGTATTGCTCAGTTTATATTTTGGTATTAATATAAATAAATGAGCATTAAAAAAATAGAAGGGGTGAAAAAGAGACATTTGTGTAGACATGTAAATGCATGGTATTTTAAGGACAGATGAAACCAACAATTTTTTTTTGTTTGAAAGAGGCTTAATAACATGTTACAAGTTTAGAAAAGTGGATAATTCTTAGAATTATTTATCCTAAGAACTGTAAAATGAAATATACTTGGAAAATATTAGTAATATTTCAATAAAAAAACAAAAATTGACAAATCACACTAAGTAAAGGTTTACAGGTGAAAATAAATTTCAGAATATGTTATCTTGGTGCTTAAGGTCTTCAATCCCTAATAGGAAGAAATATTCAATAAACTGAAAGCATAACAGATATGTAGGCATTGAATACTCAGTTTATTTAGACATACTTCCCATTTATTACTATAAGTATGTTTAATGGGATGTGTCCTAAGTCATGACCTTGAATATTGGTAAGAGTTATCTCCCCTTTTTTAATTAATAGAAAAAAATCAATTAAATTTTACTATTTCGCTTTTCCTGATAAAATTTACCTGGCTTGGTATACTTTTCTAAAGGTTATATTACACTTTTAGCATCAATATAACACATTCTAAAATTTATTTTCATTTGTAAACCTTTACTGTAGTGTTTTATCCATGTTTGTAATTTTATTGAATATGGTTACATGTACTTAAATTTTCCAAAGTCTATTACATTTTCCAGTTCTTTGGAGAAAAAATTCTAAGAATTATCCACTTTTCTAAACTTGTGACATGATATTAAGTCTCCTCCAAAGAAAATATTTGTTTGTATCATCTGTCCTCAAGACCAAACCTTGTTCAGTGTGACTTATAGATTTTGAAAATATAAAAATGTTATTTTTTTCCACCACTTTATACACTCTGACTCGGTTAAATAATAAAGAAACTAGTCAACTATTTTTTCTGTTTTTTTAAAAAGAATAAATATATGAAATAAATATATGAAAAAGAGAAAGTTGAGAAATAGTTTTCATATCATATCAGCTTGTTCAACAACGAGAAATTCAAATTTGCAAAATTTTGATGTGACAATGCAAAAATATATATTGCTTAGCTAATTTGTTTGTTTGATTTTATTAAATCACAATCTAAAAACACATTGATGGTCTTTGAGCAAATGCTCACTAGTAATACTCTGATGTGAATATGCCCTCTCATGTTGATAATTCAAAATGAAAATGAAAATCAACATATAGCTTGCCTAAACAAAGAGTATGTAAAAATTTCAATCATCAGCGATCAGTAGTTGCTAGGAAAACTGCGAAAACAATATGGCACGGACAGACGCGCAGATAAACAGGAAGTTGACATCAGATTTTGATAAAAATGAATCTTACCTTTCATTTTAAATAAAAATATATATATATATATATATATATATATATATATATATATATATATATATATATATATATATATATATATATATATATATATATATATATATATATATATATATCTATCTATCTATCTATCTATCTATATATATATTATATATTTAATTTAATCCTACTACATAAATGAGGGAAGTTAACGATTGCAAAGCTGAAGTTTATCGTCATAGTCGGTAAAACATCCAGATATGAAACAGATATGGTAGACTCCATGATGTCTCTTATTTCAAGTTCACTGGGATATATTGAGTCGACATATGAATAAAAAACAAAACAAACAAAACTGTTAACTGACAAAACATCGTCGATATATAGATATTGAATTGAAGGTCACAGCAAGTGTTTTCTTCTTCTCATGTAGTTTTTGAATGCCCATCTGAATTCCAACAGTTTGTCGAAAAACTTTGATTTCGAAGTCTGCTCCCGATTTGTATTGTTTGAACGGACTTTAAGCTTGAATATTTGTTATCTCAATATTTCATTTAGTACCCTGTTTTGCAGGTAGTAGTAATTTGATCAAGAATATGATAAAGGATTTTTACTCTCTGGATTAAGGATGACGTTTACTCAGGTTTCAGAAGACAGAAAGGGAAATTTAATAAAGTATAATATCCCAGCAGGCACGCAACGTTGTTTCAACGTTGAAAGGAGGTGGAAGTAAAGTTGCACGTTTATCAACTATATTTCAACGTTGTTTCAACGTTGGGGTTTCAACGTTGAATCCTCAACCATTTTTCAACGTTGAAACGACGTTGAACCTGCAACATATTTTCAACGTTGAATGTTCGTCGATATCTCAACGTTGAAACAACGTTGAGCCTGCAACATATTTTCAACGTTGAATGTTCCTCATATTTCAACGTTGAAACAACGTTGAAGCTGCAACATATTTTCAACGTTGAATGTTCGTCGATATTCAACGTTGAAACAACGTTGAAGATTCAACATGTTCTCAACGTTGAGTATTTTCTGATATTGTAGAGTTAAAACAAGGTTTAAAAATGCAAAGTTGACTGTCTTCATTTCAACGTTGAAACAACGTGGAAGATGCAACATATTTTCAACATTAGGAAAGTTAGGAAAATTTAACGTTGAAACAACGGGTAACGAGTATTGAGCACTTTAGTTTTTAAGTTAAAAATATAAAGATGTCTCTAACTTCTAATCCATGCGATTTTTCGCAATATACACACATGCGTATGCATTGTTAGAAAATATATATATATATATAATTATTATACTTTTAAATAAATGAAACGCATGCATTATAAATTGATTTACTCAAAAGAGTTGTGCCAACAGTACCATAATAAAATTTAAAATACGAGTTTAAATGAAGTATGACATCTACATTTAACACTCCCTTATAATTTCATGTTTCAAAAAGGTTATTTTTTTAATAAACTGTGAAGGCTATTTTTTTTTTTTTTTACATATTTATAAAATATGTTTAATATAAGCTTTTAATAAATAATAACATCTTTATCCAACATCTCACTGTAATTCCATGTTACTATAGAATTAATAAAAATAATTATTCCGAATTAATGTTCTTAAAATTAGACTCATATGGATCCGTGCCGTATACTCTTGCGCAGATTATACATGTACGTATACGGAGCGAATCTAAGAAATCTAATTTTATATGCTTTTGTTGTGTGTATTAATTCGATAATCTTTCTTTTCACAAAACATAAAAAAATTCAAATAAACACATAAGAATTTTCACACTGACGATTAACCCCGGTCAAGTTGCATTACTTAAGATCCACTCCCAAAAAAACCTTCGAGATATCAGATAAGGAGTGCCTCTTGCTTAGTTGGTCAGTTTCAGAGTCAGGATAACCTTGTTATGCAATTTTCTTGCTGGGCAGAGTATAGCAGTTTGCAGCTTATCTAGGTCAAAATTTGAATTCAACTGATGGACAAGAAGTGCGCGTCTCCTTGCTGTTCATATTTAATGTGTTTTCAAGCTATATACACAAGGATTAAGGCAGTAAGTATTATTTCCTTTTCATGAATTTAAGAAATTAAGTTTTTTAGTATCTGTTCATCATTTAATTCTTGTTTTATAAGTATATTTGAAATCTGCGTGAAATGCACATCCTTGGTTCGTGTATTTTTTTTATTACTGAGTATGTGCTTTGTTGATGTTCATTTGGTTATGAAATATAAGCTAGTGTACTAATATATTATACAATTTAACTAATTGTAGTTCGTCGTAAGGTTCAATCAACCAGTGGTGCAGGGAAGTGATTGCATAGTCAGCCTTGATTGCATCAGATTCTTCGCCCGTGAAAATTATACAAAGGAATGCAACATTTTGTAAGTACACTATGTATATGTATGTCTATAACATTTTTCTTTAGTAATAATTATTTATAAGCATACTCATACGAATTTTAACATGAAGTCAACTATAATTCTTTTAATCATGTTAATTAAATCCAAGTAACGGAATATATTCTTTTGTCTGATTTTTTAAATCATTCATGTATATTTATTTTTTTCGTTTGAAATAACGTGTAACGTACATTTTATCGAACAAATGGCTTTAACATCTTTATTTCTTTTATCAATAGGATTTTGCTTTAGAGGGGGATTCTCCTGACGTTCATTTATTTCATTCGTGGGACTTAACTTTATGCGTGATTAAAATCAATGGATCCGCCACTTTGTGAACTTAGTAGTGTAAGACAGACGCTTACTTTGAAGAACCTGGATGTGATTACTGTGACCCATTTTTCACTAGGAATATAAATTTTGTCAAGCAGTGATTTTTGAGATTCAGTGATTGAATCCGAATTTGTGTTTGTCTTAAAAATACATGTAAAATAAATGCTCTCACAATGATAATACTGGATTACAACTTATATAAATATTTCGCAACTTGAATAAAAAAAATTTATTATTTGAAATGTATTTGTTTTTAAAGCAAAATGTAATATGAATTCAACGTGATTTCAACCAAATATCAACGTTTGTACAACCGAAAAATTTCAACC